GACGAGGTTGATGGGTGCTTACGAGTTGATAGGTGCCAGCACAGCAAACCATGGCACAAGTATACATATGTAACAAACCTGCACGTTATGCACATGTACCCTAGAACTTAAAGTATAATAATTAATAAATAAATAAAAATAATAAATAAATAAAAAATTAATAAAGGACTTAAGACTAAACACTACATGTTCTCACCCATAAGTGGGAATTGAACAAGGAGAACACATGGACACAGGGAGGGGAACATCACACACCAGGGCCTGTCAGGGGGTGGGTGCTACAGTAGGGATAGCATTAGGAGAAATACCTAATGTAGATGACGGGTTGATGGTTGCAGCAAACCACCATGGCGTGTGTATACCTATGTAACAAACCTGCACATTCTGCACATGTATCCCAGGACTTAAAGTATAATAATAAAAAAAAGAAAGAAAAATTTGGTAAATTGGACTTTATAAAAAATTTTTAAATATTCTTCCAAAGACCCTTTCAAGGTGACAAAAGGGCAGGCTACTGAGTGGGAGAAAATATTTTCAAGCCACATGTCTGCCGAAGTACTCAAATCTAGATTATATAAAGTAGTATTACAACTCAACAGTGAGAAAACAAGTACAGTTGTCCCTCAGTGTATATAGGGGATTGGTCCTAGGCCTCTACCTGTACCAAAATTCTCACATATCCATACTCAATCTTATAGTCAGCCCTGAGTATACAAAAAGCCAGCCCTCCATATATGCAGGTATTGCATCCTGCAAATACTGTATTTTTGATCCATATTTTGCTGAAAAAAATCCATGTACAAGTGCATCTGTGCAGTACAAACACATGTTGTTCAAGGGTCAGTGGTGATCCAGTTAGAAAATGAGCCAAAGACATGAGCAGACATTTCATAGAAAAGGATATACGGATGGCAAATAAGTATGTGGAAAGGTGTTCAACATCAATAGGCATTAGGGAAATGCAAATTAAGATCACTTTGAAGTATCACTACATATTTATTATGATAGTTAAAATAAAATAGTTGGCCAGGTGGAGGGACTGGATCACTCATATTTTGCTGGTGGGCATGTGAAATGATACACTCTGGAACAGTTGGACAGTTTATTGAAAAGCTAAATGTGCAATTATCATATAACGCAACAATTGTACTCTTGGATGAAAACTTATGGTTACCCTAAAACTTGCACATGGATATTCATAGTGGCTTTATTCATAATTACCAAAAATTAGAGTCAGTCTAGATGTCCTTTAATAAACGTTGTCTGAGATTGCCATTGTATGGTGATAATAAAGAGTAGACCAACTTTAGTTGGTTTCATTTTTGTATTTTAATTGTCTACACACAGCACACCCCCTTATTGTCTTCACCCCAGGGTAGAGTGTTGTTACTGCCTTGTACTTGATGCACCACTACTGAAAGATATTAGTGGCACCATCAAAGCCTGCGGTGACATTGCTGTCCCTCCGCTAAAGCATGGGCCAGGCTTCCCTCAGAGAAACTGACTTTACAAATAGTAAATAGAGGCTCTTTCTGAAACCTGTCTTTGTAAACGCATTTCCCTCCCCTAACAAGGAGTTTTGGCCTTTCTGCCCTTTAGTCAGGGTCTTGGTCCTTGGTATTTCTTGCCACGGTGGGCAATAGACAAAGGCTCCCAACCACCTTGGATGGAGGCAGATATTGTAGCTATGTACCTTGTACCCAAAGGATTTAGCTACCATCTTGCTGGTGGCAGCCCTCCACCCCAAAGAGAGGAAATGCCACTGTTGCTTTGAGGAAAGGTTTGTGCCTTTGATTTTCCATGCCAAGTCAGCACTTAACTGTGACCCTGGACATATGAGGTGAAAAATCTTTGGTTTACTTTGGCATTCATGTCTCTTGCCCAACAACATGGGTTTCTGTAAACAGAAGTAGGCATGGAGGGAGGAAGGAGGATTAGATAAAAGGGACTCATCCAAGCAGGGCTAGCTGCACTATGCTGATTTCTATTAAATGACAAGGGGAGAGACCTTCTTACCCCTGGTTTCAGTTAGTGGTAGTTACTTTCATCTTAATCGAATTAATTACAAATTGGGAAGGCTTGGGTCAGCTTCATAAAATGCTGTTATTTATGTTGACATTATTATGTGACTTTAGCTAATATTTGTTTAAATTTTAGATTCAGGGGCTACATGTGTACATTTGTTATATGAATATGTTGCATAATATTGAGGTTTGGGCTTCTAGTGTACCCATCACCCAAATAGTGAACATTGTACCCAATAGGTAATTTTTCAACCCTTGTTCCCTTCCCATTCCCCCACTAATTATTATTATTTTAATCTCAGTAACCAGCAATATACCTGGCCACTCATGCATGTGCACACACACAAACCCTATTTGCTGTAGTGGAAACCACTATGGTGAAGGAGATATCCATGGTGGAAGAGTTGGACAGACTGGAGAAAGAAGGACCCTATCATTTGTTGACTGCCCACCATGTGCCACATACTCTGCTTGGTGACTTTACATGTCTTAGCTCATTTAATCCTCACCACATAATGTGTAAAGTAGGTGCCATTATTATTCCTGTGTTGCTGATGAGGAAGCCAAGGCTGAGGGAAGTGAAGTGAGATGATCAGATGTCACTCTCCTGATTCTTAAAATTCTAAAATCCCCCCTTCCTCTGAGGATAAAAGTCCCAACTCGTCCCAGTCTCCAAGCTGTGTTTTAGGCCCCGTCAACCTCCCTAGTTTTATCTAGGCCCTCTTGCGGTAGGTGCTTCAGCCACACTGCTCTTTACTCAGTTCCTTTAATGTGCCATATTCTTCTTCCGTGGGGCCATTACTCATGCTATTCTTTTTGTCTGGACTGTTCTCCTGTGTGCCCACCTGCACTCACCAGCTGACTCCTATTCATTCTTCAGGTCTCAGCTTAGATTTCACATCCTCAGTTCTCAGGGTAGCCTCCCTTGATTGTCCCCTTTACTCTATAGTGTCCCTCAGACTATGTTAGGTCCCTTTGTTGTGTCCTTCTATCACATTCTGCATCTCCTCCCTACCACTAATATGAGTTTACATGCAACCCTGTGTTCAGAATCAATTTTCTTCATTAGATGAAACTTGCTGTCTATAAACTGCCCTGTTCTCTGCTCTATCCCTAGTACCCTAGTACCTAGTACAATGCCTGCACATGATAAGTATTCGATAAATATTGAGTGATTATATATTGAAACCCTCTATAATTAATATATAATAAGTGCTCAATAAATATGGTTAAAATACAGTTGTTATTATTGTCCAAAAGCAAATAGTTAATCAGAGGCAGAACCAGGATTTATAATCGAAGTCTGAGTCTAAAGTGCATGCTTTTATGATATGACTCTGTCTGCAGAAATAGGTTCTTGGCCCAGCACTGCCCTAACTGGTTGTGTGATACTTAGGGTGAGACACTATACTACTCTGAATCTTAGTTTTCCCATCTGTAAAATGGTTATGGGGGTAGGCAAAGCTCAGATTTATCTTCATGTAACCTAGAAAAGGAGGAGAATAGAAGTCTAGATAGATGGGGATATAAGTAAATAAGGAGTTAACCAATACAAATCAGTATCATCCCTCTGCAAGACAGTTGATGAGCTATAATAAGAACCTTTGATGTTTTTATGCCCTTCAGCCTGGTAACCCTGTTCAAAGGCAATATAGAGTAGTGGATGGTATGTAGCCTTCGGTGTTAAAGAGCCCTGGGTTCAAATCCCAACATCCAATTTACTAGCTCTGTGGTACTAGGCAAGTTACCACCCTGAACCTCACTCAATTCCCTTCTCTACAAATGGGGTAACACCCACCTTTTAACCCATTTCTAAGGTTAAAAAAAAATACAATAACATGAAAAGATGTTGTCTTAGTATAGAAAGAGAAACTTCTCCCACCATCCTACCTACCTAACAGTTCTTTCTGTAGTTCTGTGCCATTGAAGACTACTTCGTGAGGCAAGAGGCACAGGCAATGCTGAAAAAAGAGAGACTGAAGACAAGCAGGCTGATGTCAGAAGCCAGAGTCCAGTGTGTGGAGTTGGATCACCCGTAGGATAGACTGGGGCAGAGGGGAAGATCAGCTACTGAGGGAGAAGAAAGGATACTCGAAATCTAAGTAAGGGGATAATGGCTAGGCAGATCCTGAGAAGCATGATAGGGAGCCAGTGGGAAGACAACAACATGCCTTAGAGCGGACCCCTTTCAAAACTTTGTAGCCCTTTCCCAGAGGCAGGCTTCAAATGCTCTTATTAAAGGCCCTTGAGACTGTGTTTCTTTCAGACCTTTTTCTTATTTAGTCATATGCATGTAAATTTTGAAATTGTAATCTTAGTGTGTACACTTTTTTAGTGAGTATCTTATCTCCAACATTGTCTATGTCACAAGTCTTCAGTGGCTGTCAAATATCCTAATTTTGCTGAAAGCTCAGAAAGTGCATCTCTGTGTATTAACTTTTTGCTTCCTTGAATTACCTCCTTAAAATATATTCCCAAGTATAGGATTCCTGACCCAGAGGGTATACAATTGGGATTTAATGACCAAAACCAGGTTTTTGTTTTTCTAAGAAAGAAATTACCAACAGTATCCTGTCCCCTTCTTTTTCTGGAACTGATAAACACACCCTCTAGAGTTGTGCTGTTTAATATGACAGCCATTAGCCACATGTGGCTGTTTAAATTTTAAGTTTGAGTAAATAAAATTAAATAAAATTCAAAATTCAGTTCCTCAGTAGCACTGGTCACATTACAAGTGCTCAGTAGCCACATGTGCCTAGTGGCTATTATACTGGACAGCACAGATACAAAACATTTCCATCACTGTAGTAAGTTTATTAGGCAGTGCTTCCTTAGAGTTTCTCAAGAGGTCATTTTTGGTTTCTTGGGTGGGAGTTCTTTGCGTTTAGAACTTTCCTGTGCATTGAGAGGCTATTTAGTATCTCTGGCCCATGTCCACTAAATGCCAGTGACACATTTCCTTGAGTCAATCTAACAGCCAAAACACCTTCCATTTTGCAAATGCCCCATAAGGGAACAAAATTAACACCATTCGAGACCCACTGAGCTTTTATCTTAGAGGAAAACATCTAACTTTTTCTTGAGACAAGGTCTTGCTCTGTCACCTAGGCTGGAGTGGAGTAGTGCAATCATAGCTTAAGCAATCCTCCTGCCTTATCCTCCTGAGTAGCTGAGACTACTGGCATGTGCCACCATGCATGGCTAATTCTTGCTTGCTTGCTTTTTGTAGATATAAGGTCTCACTATGTTGCCCACGCTGATTTCAAACTCCTGGGCTCAAGTGATCCTCCTGCCTCTGTCTCCCAAATTGCTGAGATTGCTGGCATGAGCCACTACACCTGGCCTTCTTTTTTGAGATGGCCTCAGGTTGGCTCTGCCTGGAGAGGGGGAAGCTTGGAAAGCTGGCTTAGAAAGAAAATGCTGGCTCCATTTCTGTTTTCTCCCTTCTTTTGCTGACCTGTTTCCTGCTTTTCGCAAATTGCAGGAACAAGACCCTGCAGATGGAGAAGATCAAGGCTCGTTTGAAGGCTGAGTTTGAGGCACTTGAGTCAGAGGAAAGGCACCTGAAGGAATACAAGCAGGAGATGGACCTTCTGCTACAGGAGAAGATGGCCCATGTGGAGGAGCTCCGACTGATCCATGCTGACATTAATGTGGTATGTGGCTGCCTGGAGCCTATCTCTAAAGCCCTTGAGAAAGTGGTAGTGGTGAATGATAGGACCTCTCCTTGAGATGTGACTTTGGCCAAGCTCGGGGAGCAGGTATCAGTGCAGGCTGTGGTGGAGTGGAAGAATTCAGCAGTTCTAAGGTCCAGCCCTGGCTCTGTCACTAACTGACTGTATATCACTGGACAAGTCCCTTTTCTCTGGGCCTCATTTTCCCTCTCTGCACTATAGAGGGACTCAGTACCCTCTAAATGTACTGATTTGATGTGCTCTCATTCTGAGATTCTGGGAGTTGAGAGCTGGTCTTGGGGAAAAGCAGAGCAGGCAGCTGTCTCTGGAATGTAGTTTAAAGCACTCCAAGCTTTCCATCAGACCAAACAAATCATTTCTACTTGCTACCAAAGTGGGGCTTCCTCATTGATATCTCCTTTGGAAACTGTTGGAACATGGAATATGAACTGTCTGCTAAGGTGGTAAGCTCCCCTCTTTTGGAGTTATTCAAGCAGCATCTTAATGGACACTTGTATGAGCTGCTGTACTGATGATTCCTTCACAAGGAAGGAGGTTGGCAGTGCTGACCAGTAAGGTCTTTTCAAACCCTTATCACCTATAACAATGAGGAATATATTTTTAAAATTTACTTTCGAAGGAACTAAGTTTGTATTTCTTGGAAACTCATTTCTGTGGCAATACTCATTTTCTGATATTGTCAGATTAGGATCATAAAGGAATTATGAATGAGGTTTGGACAGTAAGCAATTGGGATTTTCTGTGTTAGAGATCACAGAATTCTAGATCTCGTAAAGTATTGACAGTTTGGCTGCCAGCTAACCAATGATGCAGGGCCAGTTAAATGAGGAAGATATTTGCCAGAAGGGCTAAGTATATAGGCCAGTGGATCTCAAACTTAAGCATGCACCAAAGTCACTTTGAGAGCCTAAGACACATATTGTTAGACTCCACCCCCGATTTTCTAACTTTGTATGTCTTAGGTGGAGCCTAAGAATATGCAGTTCTGAGTCCCCAGGTGATGCTGATGTTTCTGATCCCTTGGCCACATTTTGAGAATCACTGATCTAGGAGAAAGACTGCTGGCCTGGGAGGTGGAAGCCCTAAGTCTTTATGCAGCATTTGCCACTAAGAAGTATTTCCCCAGGAAAGTCCGTTTTTTCTCTTTGAGCTTCAGTTTTCTATAAAATGGGGGTAAGGTGGACTAAATGAGCTCTGAAGGACATTCCAACTCTAAAATACTGTATTTGAAGAATACCATTTATTTAGTAGTAAATACTAAATGTAGCCCCTTTACTGAGTGCTTTATATGAATTCTATCATTAAATCTTCACCAAGATTGCATGAGTTAAGCACTAGATTATCACCATTATACAGATGAAGAAACTGAGGCTTGACTAGAGTTACATAGAGAGGACATGGGAGATCAAGGACTTGAATATAGACTGAACAAACTCTGGAGCTTGTTCTATTATTCACTGAGCTATAGAGCCTCTCTGAGAACCTTAGGATCTTTTCTCTTTGCCTGTCCCACTCTATGTTCCAGATGGAAAACACTATCAAACAATCTGAGAATGACCTAAACAAGCTGCTAGAGTCTACAAGGAGGCTGCATGATGAGTATAAGCCACTGAAAGAACATGTGGATGCCCTGCGCATGACTCTGGGCCTGCAGAGGCTCCCTGATTTGTGTGAAGAAGAGGAGAAGCTTTCCTTGGAGTAAGCTACCTGCCCCCAGTCTCTACAACATACCCTCCCTCCGACACATATACATACCTATGTACCTACACATACATGGGCATGTATACATATACAAAGCCTAGCCTGAAAGTCAGAGTGCCTAGTTTTAGTTCCAGGCCTTTCAGTGACTGACTCATCGTGTGATCTTGGGCAAGTCTCTGTGACGGCTTGTTAAAACAGGAGGAGGATTATTAAACTGGATGAATTACTAGATGAATTAGAACAACTGCTAAGTGGCTTTTTAAATTCTTTGTGTGATATTAACAATACAAGACTATGTCTATAACTCTTAAGAGATCATTTCCCAAGTCAGGGTCTAGAAGGGGATATCTAGAAACCTCTAAAAACACAAAAGACTGAGCTTTCCTGGTCTTCAGGGACTAGCCTGGGACTTCATCTCCAGGCTCAGAGTTAAGAACTAGGCTTGCCTTGCAGAGAGACAGAATTTGGCCTGGTAGAGGAAACCATTTCCTAAAGGTAGAGCAAGGTGTCTGTGGAGTTTGTGAGCTTCCTTTTCCTAGAGATATGTCACCAGAGGCCTTAGGACACTTAATAGGAATACTCAAAACAGCATGAGATAGCAGATAGGACTGAATACCCTTAAAGGACCTTGCTAGCTCAAGATTTCTTGGTCTTCTTGGTCTATCAGAGATAAGGACCAAGAGGATTATCCTTCTCATCAGAGATTGGGCCTTGTACCCAGGGACAATAGCCTTGTGCTTGGGAAGGTTTGGGGACCTTCTAGAATGAGCCACAGCTCAACCCTTGGTTATATGGCATGGAGTCTTTAAGAGGAGCAAGGTTCTTGTTGCTTTCAGAATGATCTAGCCAGTGTCTCTCATCTTCAAAGTTACTTTGAGAAGCAGAAAGCAGAATGGCAGACGGAACCTCAGGAGCCCCCCATCCCTGAGTCCCTGGCCGCTGCAGCCGCTGCCGCCCAACAGCTCCAAGTGGCTAGGAAGCAGGACACTCGGCAGACGGCCACCTTCAGGCAGCAGCCCCCTCCTATGAAGGTAAGTGAGCTGGGTAAGGGTTGTGGAGGAAGCAAAGTATCCTCCCATGGAAGGGCCGTGGAAGGCTAGTTCTGGGTCTTTGGCCTTGTTTATGCTGAGCCTTCTTTTAATAGCCTTTGCTTGCGACACAGAGGAAGGGGTGACATGGGTGTGCTGTGTTGGACCCACAGGTTTTGTTGCCCCATGTTCCCAGAGGTGTTAGAATGCAGGGATATTTTCAGGCCCTGCTGAAGTGCAATTCTAAAAGTTAGAAACAACTCTTACACAAATATGTAATGAGCATGTATCGTAAATGAAGGAACCAGCAGGATTATAAAGCTGGTTCCAGCAGCATTTGAGGCACAGATATCTATATCATCGAGAAAGGAGAGGAAAGCTGAAACAAATTTGCAAAGTTAGATACAAAACTGGTTTACATCCTACAGGGCAATACAACTGTAACCTTTATAGTTGCTGTTTCTTCCAAACAGAAGTAATTTGCATCTCTACTGGGCAAAAGCCATTTGCAGCTTATTAGTGTAACATCACAGAGTCTGGGTCCTAATCAATTGGTAAATAGTCAAACAAAGAGACATTCTTCTAGAGCAGGGGTCATCAAACTACAGCCTACAGGTCAAATCTAATCTGTTCTCTGTTTTTGTTAAAGTTTTATTGGCCCACATGCATGTCTGTGTTTGCAAGCTATTGCAAACAGCATGCATGCAAGCTATTGTCTATCACTTCTTTCATGTAAAACAGAATTGAGTAGTTGCAGCAAACATCATATGATGTAAAAAATCTAAAGTATTTGCTATCTTGGCCTTTACAGAAAATGTTTGTTGACCCCTTTCTAGAAAATTAAATAGTCCTTAAGTGGGCCTGTTAGACAATGTTTCAGTATAATGATGAATAGATGTGTAGTTCTCATTTTGCCTTACTTTCTAGTTTTGTATACTTTTTCTCAACACCTTTCTCTGAACTGGGTTATATCGTCCTTCCCATCTTCTATGGTATCCAAGAATATTTGAGTCTACTCACTGATTATTGCTCCCTTCTGATGGGAAATCACTTTGCTTTCTGGACCCCTGGGGAATCAGAAGTCTAAGCTGTTGCCTGGAAGAATCTGACCACTAACTTTCTTTTTCCTGTGTCCCTCACCAGGCCTGCTTGTCATGTCACCAGCAAATTCACCGGAATGCACCTATATGCCCTCTATGCAAGGCCAAGAGTCGGTCCCGGAACCCCAAAAAGCCGAAACGGAAGCAGGATGAATAAAGAAAGGGAGAGCACATGAAGCTTTGCTAATTATAACCCCTCACCTTGACCAGAGTCATTGATGTCCTGATGTGAAACAACCCTTGCCCAACCCCACGAAGTCTCCTATTTAATGTGATGGAAGCACAACCCCTCTCTCACTTTGCTCCTATTTCTTTCTGCTCTTGGGATTTCCGGTTTAGGAAGAGATGTGGTTCAGGTGCTAAACAGTATGTCTGATGATCCCTTCTCTCTCACTCACATTTCAACCCCTGCCCTTGTTTGGAGCTAAGGGAAGGGCAAAAGGCTCAGATATGATTCTCTGTCTCTTGTGCCTGAGGCCTGGAGCCTAAGGAGCTGTAGGGTCTGAGGGGCAGAGGAGGCCCATATCTTATTTCAGGTAAAGGACCCAGTATTTCCCCTCCTTGTACTTTTGCCTTAGGTTCTGAAGGGACAATAGTCTTCATGTTGGATTCTCCAACAGGCTGGGTGCATGTATCCCCCTACTCCTACCTTCATCTCACCCTTAAGGCCCAAAGGTAGCCTGGACAAGCCCTCCTTTTCATAATCATTTGGGAGGCCTTGTTGTAATTCTTTAGCTTGCTCCACTTCTGTCTCCCAGATATACTAAAATTCTTAGGTACTAGGCTGTGTGTCTTGGGATCTTAAGATCAGTGACCCTTTCCCCAATATCTAGTCTTTGCAAATTCTAGTAGAAGATTCCACAGTGAAATCAGTGAGCCAGACCAACTCTACATCTCCTGCGTAACCTACTGCCTAAGTCATTAGGGCTGAGGGCTGGGCTGTAGGGGCTTCCTTAGGCTGAGAGGGTCCCCAGGCTGACATCTGTGTTGGCTTTTGTTCAGAACCATTACTCTGGCAAATGCTCAATGGTATATTGCAGGGAGGAGAGGAGTAGATTTAGATTAGAGTAAATGCCAATCACTTTACATATGAAGGTGGGTGAGACTTTCCTTCCATTCATCCCTTACTCTCTTGGATCTGACTTCTTCTGACCTCAGCTCAGGACAGCTGCTGGCCACTCCTGTCCTGTGGATTGTGCAGGTGGCCTTTCCTCCCAAAAGAAAAGGCATCAGGCTCCCCATGCCCCACAGCTCTCCTTTCCACCAAAGCCAGGTTTCCTGGTAAGGTTACTGGAAGACAAGGGATAGGAATGGGGGCTGACTGACAAAAAATTTTAGCCCTAGGTCTCAGTCCCTGGCTGGGGAGGGGGATATTTTTCCTTCCTTAAGTAGTTTTACATTGCCACAGTGTGTATGTGTTCATAATATAAAATGTTCCTCTGCTCTTTGAAAGTAAGAGTGTTGTGTCTGTACAAATCCTTTTAACATGCATTCATTGGAGTAAATTCTGAGTATCTACTGTGTATTGGATAATACAAAAGATGTAATGTCATTTACCTTTCTGGGTAGCTCTTGTTTGCTCTTATTCATTCTACCTTACAAATGAGAAAGCCAGGCACCAAGGCCAAAAATTTACCTAATTATCACAATAATTTCCATTTATTTAGCACCTACTCTGTGCCAGGTCCCTATGCAAGTTGCTCTCTATAAATGATTGTATTTGATTTCCAAAACACCTTACAAGCTAAGTATTCTTATCACCATTTTTTTTTTTTTTAAAAAAAAGGATACTGAACCTCCAAAAACTTAAAAGCTTTTTCAGAGTTAAACAGCTAGTAAGAGGAAATTGCAGGATTTGGAGCCACCTTTGTCCGACTCCAGAGCTCATTTTTTTTCTACTTCTTCTCCATGATCATTTTTAAGAAAATCTTTCTCCCTTTTGGAATGACTTGATGATGAGAGTGGTTGAAATAACTTTGGAACTGAAATCAAGAACTGGGTATCAAATGACTGATTTAGGGATATAAAGGCCTTGTTGCCTGTAGGGATACAATAGGGAACAACTTTGAACGGATATCCCAGCTTCAGAGCTCCCTTAGAGTAAGCTGAGTTTGCCATTAAGGCTGCATCACAGATAAGCATCTCCCTCTGTCTAATCCTACTTCTTTACCGCCCCTTCCCTTCCACAGGTGTTCATCCCAAGGGCTCCCTAAGTAATATCCTGTACACTAATCTCTCTCTCTCTGCTTGTTGGGGAATTCAACAGCTAAATAAAACCTCTCTGTGCCTCAGTGTCCTCTTGTGGAAAATGGGGAAAATATTAGCACTTATTTCATGGGAAAGTAAACAACGTGAGGCACATAGTAAGCACTCGTAAGTATTAACATCCTTTTATCCACTGTGCCTCTGGGTTTAGGTAGATTGGAACACTAGTCAAAAATTATACTACTCATCTTCCCTGATATTACCTTATCACCCCAGGTTTTGTATAGCTACAGGCCTTCTTTTGAAGTGGCTCAGGCTCACTCTGGGCAAAGAGAGGACACTCATCTGTACAACTTGGAGTACACCTTAACCTGTATAGGCCTTAGTGAGTCCCTGTAAAGCACAGGAGGCATGGCCATAGCTCTGCATCCTTGGCACAAAGGAGGCCAGGTCTGTCAATTATGTTGTAGTAATGGTAAGAGGTTTTGAACTCCTAGCACCAACAGCCAGGCAAGCCATTTCCTAGGGATGCTTTTGAAGGGGAAGAGAATAATCATGTGTTGAGCACCTACACCTGCCAGCCACTTGGTAGGGCACTACTGTCTTGTAGTCTTTCTGGTTCATTTATCTATTGCCCTGAAACAAACCACACAAACACTTAATGGCTTAAAACAACCATCATTTATTTGCTCATGACTCTGCAGTTTGAGCAGAACTTGCTGGGAACGGCTAATTTCTGTTCTATGTGGTCTTGCCTCAGACAGCTTGGCTAAGGCTGTAAGATCCAAGACGGCTGCACTCTCATCTGGCACCTCACCTGGGGTGGCTGGAACAGGAGTGGGCTGGATGTCTTAATACCCATTCCAACCTTTGTAGTCTTTTATCCTCCAGGGCCTCTCTCCATTTGGCATTGCACTTCAATATTCAGACTTTTTTACCCTGGCAGCTGGCATCCAAGAGGGTGAAAACCAAAGCAGACTGACTTACCCTTCGCTTCCTTCTTCTCTGTCTCTCCTAACCCCCTTGTATTATTTTTTTCATTATATTTTTGTTCCTTCTCTTATTTGTTTATTCTCCCTTAAGCAAGTCTTGGGTTCACCTGCTCCACTGCACTTAGGCAAAAGAAACACTGACTTTTGAGGTAGACAGACTTGAGTCTGACCTGGCTTTGCCGCTTCCTACTTGTTGAGCAATTACTTTACCCTTTTTGAGCCTCAGTTTTATCATCTGTAAAAATGGACACATAACACATATAAACAGCAAGGCCTTTTGTGGCATAAAACCAGAAGTCATATAGCAATACTGCCTCTGCATTCTATTGGTCAAAGTGAGTCACAGGGCCAGCTCAGATTTAAGGGGTAATACTCCATCTTTTGATGGGAGGAGCTGTTGCCAGCCATATTTACAGACAATCTACCACATTCTCTGACAACAGTATTTTAAGGAAGGTGTCATTAGATTGATGCAAAAGTTGTTGTGGTTTTTGCCACTACTTTCAATGGTAGACACCACATTTACTTTGGTACCAATGTAATATGCGTCCCTTTTTATAGATGATAAAACTGACTCAAAAAGGGTAAAGTTGTTGCTTAACAAGTAGGAAGGGGCAAAGCCAGGTCAGACTCAAGTCTGTCAACCTGGAAAATCTGTGTTTCTTTTGCCTAAGTGCAGTGCTGCAGGTGAATCCAAGACCTGGTTAACAGAGAATAAAGAAAGGAAGAAAAGGAACAAAAAATATAGTGAAAAAGAAGACAAGGGGGTTGGGAGAGAGAGACAAGAAGGAAAAGGAGGGTGAATAAGAAGAGTAACAGAAGTAAGACAAGGTATCCTTTATATTTGCTTTACATCAAAAGCACTTTCTTCAACATTTCCATTTCATGCTCACCTTGTTCTGTTGGTAAAGAATGTATTATTAACACACACGTTTTACAGATGAGGCCCAGATAAGGAAACCAACTTGCCTAACAAAGATTACGTAGCAAATTATGAGCAAAGCCATAACCAGAACCTAAGCCTTCCAATCTGGGAATCACTTAGACTGTAGCATTCTGTATATGCCTTACACAGCAGAGGTTAATTGTATGCATGTTTTGTGCTAGAGGTGGCTGCCTTTATATATATATATGTGTATATATATACTTTAAGTTCTGGGGCACATGTGCAGAACATGCAGGTTTGTTACATAGGAATACACATGCCATGGTGGCTTGCTGGACCCATGTACCCATCATCTACATTAGGTATTTCTCCTAATGCTATAGCTCCCCTAGCCCCCCACCCCATGACAGGCCCTGGTTTGTGATGTTTTCCTCTCTGTGTCCATGTGTTCTCATTGTTCAACTCCCACTTATAAATGATAACATGCGGCATTTGGCTTTCTGTTCTTCTGTTAGTTTACTGAGAATGATGGCTTCCAGCTTCATCTGTGTCCCTGCAAAGGACAAGAACTCATCCTTTTTTATGGCTGCACAGTATTTCATAGTGCATATATGCCACATTTTCTTTATCCAGTCTATCATTGATGGGCATTTGGGTTGGTTCCAAGTCTTGCTATTGTGAACAGTATTGCAATAAACATCTGTGTGCATGTGTCTTTATAGTAGAATAATGTATAATCATTTGGGTATATACCCAGTCATGGGATTGCTGGGTCAAATGGTATTTCTGGTTGTATATCCTTGAGGAATTGCTACACTATCTTCCACAGTGGTTGAACTAATTTACACTCCCACCAACAGTGTAAAAGTGTTCCTATTTCTCCACATCCTCTCCAGCATCTGTTGTTTCCTGATTTTATTAATGATCACCATTCTAATTGGCATGAAATGGCATCTCGTTGTGGTTTTGATTTGCATTTCTCTAATGACCAGGGATGATGAGCTTTTCTTCATATGTTTGTTGGCTACATAAATGTCTTCTTTTGAGAAGTGTCTGTTCATATCCTTTGCCCACTTTTTGATGGTTGTTTTTTTCTTGTAAATTTGTTTAACTTCTTTTTAGATTCTGGATTTTAGCCCTTTGTGAATGGATAGATTGCAAAAATATTATCCCATTCTGTAGGTTGACTGTTTACTCTGATGATAGTTTATTTTGCTGTGTAGAAGCTCTTTAGTTTAATCAGGTCCCATTTGTCAATTTCGGATTTATTTGCCAATGCTTTTGGTCTTTTAGTCATGAAGTATTTGCCCATGCTTATGTCCTGAGTGGTATTGCCTAGACTATTTTTCTATGGTTTTTATGGTTTTAGGTCTTCCATTTAAGTCTTGAATCCATCCTGAGTTAATTTTTGTATAAGGTGTAAGGAAGGGATCCAGTTTCAGCTTTCTACATATAGCTAGCCAGTTTTCCCAAAACATTTATTAAATAGGAAATCTTTTTCCCATTGCTTCTGTTTATCAGGTTTGTCAAAGATCAGATGGTTGTAGCTGTGTGGTGCTATTTCTGAGGCCTCTGTTCTGTTGCTTTGGTCTATATATCTGTTTTGGTAACACTACCATGCTGTTTTGGTTACTGTAGCCTTGTAGTATAGTTTGAAGTCAGGTAGTGTGATGTCTACAACTGTGTTCTTTTTCCTTGGGATTGTCTTGGTTATGCGGGCTCTCTTTTGGTTCCATACAAAATTTAAAGTAGTTTTTTCTAATTTTGTGAGAAAAGTTAATGTTAGCTTGATGGGGATAGCATTGAATCTATGAATTACTTTGGGCAGTACGGCTATTTTCATGATATTGATTCTTCCTATCCATGAGCATGGAATATTTTTCCATTTGTTTGTGTCCTCTCTTATTTCCTTTAGCAGTGGTTTGTAGTACTCCTTGAAGAGGTTCTTCACATCCCTTATAAGTTGTATTGCTAGGTACTTTATTCTCTTTGTAGCAATTGTGAATGGGTGTTCATTCATTATTTGGGTCTCTCTGTGTCTATTATGGATGCATAGGAATACTTGTGATTTTTGCACATTGGTTTTGTATCCTGAGACTTTGCTGAAGTTTCGTATCAGCTTAAGGAGATTTTGGGCTGAGACAATGGGGTTTTCTAAATATACAATCATGTCATCTTCAAACAGAGACAATTTGAATTCCTCTCTTCCTATTTAAATATGCTTAATTTCTTTCTCTTGCCTGAATGCCCTGGGTAGAACTTCTCATATTGTGTTGAATAGCATTGGTGAGACAGGGCATTCTTGTCTTGTGCCGGTTTTCAAAGGGAATGCTTTCAGTCTTTACCCATTCAGTATGATGTTGGCTGTGGGTTTGTCATAAATTGCTCTTACTATTTTGAGATACATTCCATCAATACCTAGTTTACTGAGAGTTTTTAGCATGAAGGGGTGCTGAATTTTATCAAATGCCTT